AAAACAAACCTCTGACAATAAGGAAATATGTCATTGGGTTTTTTAAAAATGCTGAATCATCATTCCCCCCCCAAAATTCAACTATGAAATATTTGTGGGATCAAATCAAGGATTTGAAACACTATATATTCTCTTAGAATCTGTTATTTTTTTAAAAGTAAGAATTTCCTTATCAGAAAAGAAAAAGAATATAAGTAATATGCCTTATTTACTAATGAGATTGATAGGGTAAATGAAAACAGGATCACAGGCAAAAACAATAAAATTCTATCTATATATTCATATTTAGCAACAGAGAAATTGAAATAAATATATAATAAACTCAACAAGAATTTGGACATGACTGGCTTCAAGTCTCTCAAAAGTGGGAGGGGACACAAAACAGAATTACCTATCTTAAGAACATTACAGCCTACCTAAACTGAAGAGAATTTAGGCAGTAAAAATATATGGAAAGTTATTACACTCTGCCCCATGGGACTTCCAGTCTACATCTGCTAAGTTACATTTCTTCCATCTTCAATACACTTCACTTTTTGGCAGAAGCGAGGGGTGAGACAAGACCTTGCTATGCATCCAGACTGGTCTTGAACTCACTATGTAGCTCAAGCTGGTCTCAAACTTGTGGTAATCATCCTGTCTCAGCCTCCCATATGCTCAGATTATAAGCATGTGCCACCACGCCTGGCACATTTCACTCTTAAAAGATAGGATATCCCTTAACTTACTATACATGTTAAAGAGTAATAATGAACTTCACTTTATATCAGACTTTTATTTGTGATATGATATAAATAATCACAACTAAAAGCATTAACATTATTACAATACAAAAAGAAATGGGCTTATATTCTCCTTAGAGGAACTGAAACTTTCCCCCAAAGGAAATGATTTTTTTTTTTTGGTACTGGGGATGGAACTCGGGACCTTGCACTTTCGAGGGAGGTGTCAGAACCACTGAGCTAAATCCCGGGCAGGAATGATATTTTTTAGTTCATCTGTCAGTATTTTAAAAAGGTCTTTCATCACTGGGAGTATACCTTGGTGGTAAAGCACACACTTAGCATACCCGAGGCCTTGGGAGTTTCAACAAAGAAAATAAGACAGAAAGCAGACACTAGAGAAAGGGGAGGGGGAGGGAGGGAGGAAGGAAGATAAATGGTGGAATAACAGTAATGGACAATTAGTTTCAATGGTCAATTTGTTGTTACTTTACTGACAATGGGGTATAATTTCATAGTTTTTAGAAAAGAGAAAAAGATTACATCAAAATTCTAGAAATTGTTATTCTTTGCTTAAGAAACAATTTTGCTTAAGACCATGCAGCTTTCTACTGTGACTTAAAAAAAACACTGCAGTGTTTGATTTGGAGAAAGTCATCTATTGTATGTATGAGGAACAGAAAATACAAAACTTCTATATTTGGTTAGTGAGAAAAAAAAGAGTACGAAAAAAATGAAGGTTATAACCAACTGACATAAGCTATAACAAAATATGTCAACTAGATGATTAAATGAAAAATATTTGACAATAATGTAAAATAAAGGCTCCATTTGGAAATAACTGCTTTGTTTTATAGGCCAATTAATAGATGTTAAAAAATTAAAGAAAAATATAGTTTTCTTTAAAGAAATAATATAAAGTACATGAAATGACTGCATTAACAGCATAATACATGGATATTATGGGGTAAGATTAAAAAACTTATGATATATTTACATTAAGATAAAGCCAAACTACATAAGGTGTGATTGAAAAATAGTGTGTTTAAATTTTAAGAAATTCTGTTACAATAAAAGACACACTGCCATTAATCCCCCTCACCTCAAACACACTTCTCCTATCATTCTTGCCCCTTTCTAAAGCAGTTCTGGAAGTCTTTTTTTGTGAGTTTTTAGTTATGCTGTCCTGGCTGCCTCAAAGTCCTGCATCAACTCAAAACGTTTACTTTTCATGGTCATTTTCACTTTGGTAAAGAGCCAGAAGTTGCATGGTGCCAAATCCGGTGAATAAGGTGGATGAGGATGCACTGTAATGTTTTTACGAGCTGCCTTTCCACTGGATGGCACTTGGCAGCAGCATTCACTATGTGATCAGACCTTGTAAGGGCACTAAACAGGACTTCTAGAACTGCTTCAGAAAGTGACAAGAATGATTGGATAAATGTATTCAAACTGAGGGGGAGCAGTTTACTCTTAGAAGGATTCCTGGCAATGTGTCACTTACTATAAAAAACTTTTAGGGCCGGGATTTAGCTCAGTGGTTCCACTGCCTGCCTTGCAAGCACAAGGTCCCAAGTTTGATCCCCGGTACCAAAAAAAAACAAAAAAACTTTTAAATATAGCATTCACTATATTTTTGATCACCCCTTGTATTTTGTATTACCATCTTAATAATAGTGCTAGCAAGATATTAATAATTTTCAAATATTTCATAAGAGAAAATCAGAACTCTTTCTAGCTTTAAAGTTTTAAAAACCTTTAAATCTAGTCTGAATATTTAAAAAAATATCATTTACCTACAAAACACATTCATAAAACCTGCATCTGTAGCTGTCACAGTCGGGGGTGAGGTGGGAAGGTGGTTAGTGGGGAATGAACCCAGGACCTCAAGGATGCTAAGGCAAGCACATTGAGCTACATCTCCCTTTTTTTCAAATGTTACTTTGAGACTAGGTCTTGCTAAGTTGCCCAGGCTGGCGTTGAACTCATGATCTTCCTGCCTCAGCCTCCTAAACAGGAGAGATTATGGGGTGCTACCATTCTTTATATAAGACCTGTGTTAGTAGAAAGTTTGAAATCCAATAATGATGCAGTTTCTGGTAATAATATAGTTTATAGCTTTATATAATCCTTAAAAAATTCATTAACATAAGATAGGAATAGGCTCTGGAAAAAGATTCCCGCCCAAATTCAAAAGCTGCTTAATCAAACTGTTTCACTATCAGCTCAAATAGGAATATTCCACCTATTACTTACAGAAAACTTGCTAGTTAAACAGAATAGGGCAAAAGATAGCAAAACAAGAAACAACTACCCAATTATTTGTCAATATAGTTTGGCCATTCTTTTCTACTTGGCATCTGGAGATAAATGAAAAACACCCCAGGAAAATGTTATTTTTATTTTAGATTTGTTATTGGTTTCAATTAAGGCAATAAGATAAACTAATGGTTGTTACTGGTCAAATAATGGAGTTTGCTGAATGTTATATTTAAAATTAAAGTAATGGCAGCCTAAGTAATAGAGGCTAATGATGGAAGTAAACTTTCTCTAAGCATGTCATAGCCAGTTATCTTGCAAGAGGGAGGGGGGAGGGGGAGGGGGAGGAAGAGGGGGCTGTAGATTCAAAGCAAATCTAGAAAGAAATTCTTCCAGGATGTTTAGTTTTTCAACTATACTTCTGGTGATAATGCATAAAGTTTACTTTAATTACCCACACATATCTAGCTTTTCAGCAGGAAATTGTAAGTGTACATACTCTAGAAGGTGCTATTTAAAATTTAAGATTTTTCTTAAAAAAAAAAAAAAGATTTTCTAACCAAGAAACAAGAGTCATTAAGACACACAAAAAAATAATAAGACAGTTGAGTAAGTAATGAACCTTATCAAAACTATCAAGTGAAGGATGTTATATGTAACAAAATTCCCAGAAAATCTTTTAAACTAATCAAACACTAATGAGTTTGCATACCTCATCATTTAGCATTTTAAAATAAAATAGAAACTACCTTATTAAATTTCATTTGAAAAAAAAGAGTACTCAAAAAGATAAACCAGAAGCTCAGTATAAAAATCTTATTTAAGAAGCCCAACCTCTTTAAAACAACACCTCAAGTATGTATTTCACTGTGTGAGCCAAAATAAACCTTTTCTCTCTTAAAAAATGTATTTTATGAAAATTAATGTAAAATTTTAATGAAAAATTTGGGAGAGACAATATACGTATCAAAAGGTGAATGAATGGGAACTCTGGATTGTTTAGTTATTGCTAGGGGATGAGCTGGCTGGCTAAGGGTCACTGGCTCAATTCTACACCTAAGAAGAATCTCCTATTTTCTCTTTCAGAACCTGTTTCCCTGGTACCATAAAGTCAACTTTCAAATTTCTGACTTTCATACAAGTTATACTTTTAAGCATTATACACTAACGTTCCTAAACTTGCCCTTCTTACTCCAATTCAGAATTTTATACTTTAGTGTATAGTAAATGTTTGTAACTCTAACCTGTGAAGTCTGCTTTCCAAACACAGAAAGTCCCATTTTTGTCTTATATATTCAACTTCTTTCCATGGTTTTAGATTTACATACGTAGCAAGAGAGGACAATATTCTCATGCTACTCTAAATTCCTTCAGTGACCAAAAAAAGTTATTTGTTAAATTGACTTTGTTTTAGGATATTATTCGCTTAATGAAGGGATATATGATAGACAAGTAGATATTTAGCAAGTCATCAAACATGTATTGGTCCCCTCCAGCCTATCTGGACACAGAGACAGGTTAGACAGGGTCCTGACCTGCCACAGATTCTGAAATCAGACCCTGACATCAGTGCCTACAATCACTTCTGAAATGGTATGTGGCATTTTATCATACATAAAGCAAAGACACCACTAAGGGGTCAGAGAGAAGATGTGGGTGTCACACAGCGCAACCAGGACTCTAAATTGAGGTCTCCTAACATCTAGTTCAATGCCCTTTCCTTCTTCTCATTATTTATTTTAAAACACAGACTAAAAAGCAGACACATACAAATGGAGGCATTTGCTACACTGTGACACCTGAATGTGGAAGGTAATTTTTATGTAGGTAGTCCTGGCTGAGATTTCTCAAATATTAAGGCAGCCACTCATTCTTTTCACTGTGTAAAAATTTAACTCATATCCTCACCTCACCAGGTTATGGGGTTTTATGTAACAATGTGGTAACTGGCACATTCCTTTTAAAAGCAGTTACTACCAAGCCGACTCCACCCATCTAAATCCTCTTTTATGATCCTGCCTTTTCCAGCCACTCCATGATTTTCCTTTTGATTTCTTTCCCTTTATCCTCTGTGGAGCCAGGCCTGGCTCTTTCTTCTTCCTGATGTACTTTTTTCCTCCTCCTCTGTAAAACTGACACTTTACTTTTCTTTCTGACCCTGTGTAATGTTTTCTTTTTCACTTTGAAGAATTTAGCCTGAAAGGGAAAAACACATTTGGCTGTCTCATAATAAAATTGAAAGTTTCATTTTTTATATCTACAAATGATTCATTACATGATTTATTCAGGCATAAAATAAAGAATCAAAAGTAAGTATAATGCAAATATATGTAAATTTGGAATATTTTTCATAATGGATACAAAAGTACTATAAGAACCTTTGTAATTTAATAGGATAACTGCTATATGCTTTCAGAAAGTTTAAGAAAGGTCAAATCAGATGTCTTATAAGAAATGTAAATTAATACCGTGGGACTTAATCTTTATGACAACTATTGAGTTAACATGCAAGAGTCAACAACACTGAATTAGAGCAGGTAATCATGAAAGTTACCTCATATGGAAAAAATATAAAAGAAACTCCTGCTTGATTCTATGTATAGGAGCATGTGAAGGCACAGACCTCCTAACCTATGCATACTTTTTTGACAAGAGAGACAAGTGTTCTGGAATCTCTCATACATAAGACTAGAAGAACTTGAAAATCTTCTTAGACAACAGGATATATCTATATATATATGTGTCACAGTTTGCTCACCTTTCCATCAAAACGTTTTATAATATACTGATCAAGGCCCAAGTCTGTAAAAAAAAAAAAAAAAAGGAAATTTATTTAGTCACTAGTAATTCAAATGAAACATATAAAATAACTGCTCTTAGTTTTGTTTCCAATCATTCAATTAAATGTCAACATCTATTTAAAATCCACACAAATGAATATTTTATACCACTTACAGACTCCAAGTGTCAGTGCTAAAAAAACAATACCAACCAGGGCTGGGGATTTAGCTCAGTGGTTCCACTGCCTGCTTCACAAGTGCAAGGTCCCGAGTTCAATCCCTGGTACCCCTCCAAAAAAACCAACCCTTTTACTTTATGTATTAGAAAAGTGAGGCTCTGTAGTGGTAACAGTCTTATGTGCAAGGCCTATTAAATGGTAGAGCCAAACTAGACCTCTAGACCCCTCCCAGGGTGGTGCTCTTTCCATTAAATCACCTCTAGTTAAGGAAAGGGATATTAATTTAATCTGAATGCATAAAAAATTTTTAAATCAAGTTAAAGAAAAGATTTCAATACCAAAAAGAACTTTTGCAACAAACTCAATAGACACAAATTGCCAATCTTACTATTACCCTCCTCCCAATCAATTGAACCCAGGGGTACTCTACCACTGAACTACATCCTCAGCCCTTTTTATTTCTTTTTGAGACAGCGTCTTGCTAAATTGCTCGACGTGTCCTTAAACTTGTGATCCACCTGCCTCAGCTTTTCAAGTAGCCGAGATTACAAGTGTGTGCCACAGCACCCAGCCTAATTCTACCTTTATTCTGGAATACCTAGTTTTGAATTCTGAGCTCTTTGAAGGATACAAGTAAATATATTAAATGCTCTTAAGGGAAGGGATTTTTTTTTTGTCTTTGCACATTGCTTTCTCGCCAGCACTTGAACAGTGCTTGATCAATAAATATATGCAAAAGAATGAATAGTGGACAGTTCCTGTCTGGAAGAATCACAATTCTGTTAGAAATACATGGATATAATAATTGACATTATAAGGGAGCAGACAATTGGTTCAATAAGAGGGTATTGTAGGAGTTTTGAGAGAGGAGACATCAGTTCCCAAATATAATTTTTTGTACATAATTACTCAGCTCTTTTCTTTCAGTTCTGACTGTATTCATATGAACTCAGGCATGAGTACACTGCCCACAGTATGTCCATAATCAGATTACCTCTGCTCCCAAAAGAAGCTGTTCACATTTCTACTTGTAAAGGTTTGGTTACACATTCTCCTTATCTGAAAGGTGCTTTGTCTTCTAGAATCCCACCCTGAACAAATTGAACCACTGACTGTAAAATGAAACATAATTCAGGAAATGGAAAGGAATTTTAGAAACAATTCTAATTTGAAACTCTGGAAAGGTATCAGTCAAAAAAATAAGCCTCTTCATGCAGGCGCAAGGACCCAAGTTCAATCCCCGGTACCAAAAAAAAAAAAAGCTTCTGTGATAAAACAGAGAATAAGAGTTATATCAGTGATTCCACCACTACCTCAAAAGTGCAAGGCCCCAAGTTCCATCCCTGGTACTAAAAAAAAAAAAAAAAAGCAAAAAAAA